CACTCTCTCACACACGCACACACACACACACATGCACACACACACCCACCCACCAACCTACACACACACACACACACACACACACACACACACACACACATACACATACACATACACATACACATACACACACACACACACCATAATGTCAAACACACCATAATAGATATCTGTTCAGTCATTTTGCTATTAACATTGTTTACGGTATCAAATTATAAAAATCACTGACATTTTTGTTCTTCCTCCTCTTCCTCATCCTCCTCCTCCTCCTCTTCCTCCTCCTCAGACGGTGTCGGAGGCCTTCAGAGAAGCGAACATCGCCGCCTCAACTGGGAAAGCAATCAACTTTTAATCCCGTTGTCTTCCCTTCAGTGTAAATAACGAGGAGACCTGTGTTATTTAAATGTTCTCTCAATAAAAGAGGCCCCAGCGCTGACCTCAGATCAGTCTCTCTGCTCTCCATAAACACTGCAGAGAGCAGAGAGACTGACCTCAGATCAGTCTCTCTGCTCTCCACAAACACTGCAGAGAGCAGAGACTGACCTCAGATCAGTCTCTCTGCTCTCCACAAACACTGCAGAACATCACCACTTATTTACCGAACATAGATATATAAATATTATTATTAGCTTTCTGCCGGGTCGCTGTGCTTCCTCTCTTAAAGGAACAAGTGTTTTTGTTAGTTTTACAGAATGACGAACATGACGTGTGATCAGAGCAGGAAGATGTACGTTTTACAGGTTAGATCAACTCCTAGAAATGAAGAGGCTCAAGCTTTAAAGAGGAGTTTCAATTGGATAGGCGAGAAATTAGCGCCCAAATTCTGCATTTCATACATTATTTTTAGCTGTATTTCTGCTTCAATTCTTTATTTTTAATTTGCCAGAACAACAAATGCCAGCAGGAAAAGTTGCAGAAGAAAGGAAACAAAATCTAAATTAATAATCGTTAGGGAAATGTTTTTTAAGTTCTACTTTCTTGTTGTTTTTAGCAGCTTTCAAACTCTTTTCAGTCAAAATCCATGTGTTTAAAAGCTAATGATATTCAAATGAAGAACGAACTCCTTTGCAGCAACACACGGGACAAGTCCACGCTAACAACATGACATCTAAGGAACAAAAAAGGATTAAATGCATGATTTTCACCGTTTTGGGAATTCTGCCTTATTCATTAAACGCACAAACTTAAAGGTTCCCTGTGGAGTTTCTTTTAACGCTGTTTTCTTCTTCTCCTGCTGATTTGATGGTGACCGCAACACACGCAGGAATAAAAGGCAGAGAAGAAGACTGCAAGCTAGAGCTGCTACCATTTCATTACTCAATTCATCTGTTGTTTTTCAAGCAAAATGCTGTTTTCTCAACCCTCTTATTTCCTACTTTTCTCTTACGTCACATTAAAGAGACTATATTTAGGCATTTCAAGGCCACAGTTGGGACTTTTATTAAACTATTTTCTGACATTTTATCCATACAATAAGCAGGTTAATCGATTAATATAACAAAAAAAACAATACAAATAATCAGGTGCAGCACTACAAGCTAGTAAACAAATGGTTAATTGCTCTCAAATCAACACTATTGTTATTGTTGTTTACTCCACAGTGCACCTTTTTAATTCACTTCCTGTTTGTGCAGAACGTCAGAGTTTATTCTCCTTTAAATTATGATTTTAATCCAGTTTGGATCGTCTTCCTGCTCCGGCTGCTTCCCTCTGGCTCTCCGCTTATCTCAACATTTTAAACCAATAAAATATCAGTTGAATAAAAACCAGTGTGTCGTTCTTCTTTTACTGATGTCCATGGTGAGTTTTTAACAACAAGTTGGGAATAAAAAACAAAATAAATTTGTTCAGGTGTGTATCAGTATGTAGTCTCTACTTTAAAGAGTCCTCTCCTGCTGATGTTCAGGTGTATATCAGTATGTAGTCTCTACTTTAAAGAGTCCTCTCCTGCTGATGTTCAGGTGTATATCAGTATGTAGTGTCTCTACTTTAAAGAGTCCTCCCCTGCTGATGTTCAGGTGTATATCAGTATGTAGTGTCTCTACTTTAAAGAGTCCTCTCCTGCTGATGTTCAGGTGTATAACAGTATGTAGTGTCTCTACTTTAAAGAGTCCTCTCCTGCTGATGTTCAGGTGTATATCAGTATGTAGTGTCTCTGCTTTAAAGAGTCCTCTCCTGCTGATGTTCAGGTGTATATCAGTATGTAGTGTCTCTACTTTAAAGAGTTCTCTCCTGCTGATGTTCAGGTGTATATCAGTATGTAGTGTCTCTACTTTAAAGAGTCCTCTCCTGCTGATGTTCAGATGTATATCAGTATGTAGTGTCTCTACTTTAAAGAGTCCTCTCCTGTTGATGTTCAGGTGTATATCAGTATGTAGTGCCTCTACTTTAAAGAGTCCTCTCCAGCTGATGTTCAGGTGTATATCAGTGTGTAGTGG